AATATGGTTGTCTCCTTTTCTACATTTTTGAATGTATGAATGAAGCAATGATTATTTACAAAATTTTATATATATATATATATATGTGTGAATGATTTTTTCAAAGTCTATATGTAATAATTTAATTTCTAGTACAAAACAAATTTGTCCGAGAGACTGCTATAGTTCGGCCATCTGATATGTTAGATTCAAATATACCGAGCGAAATGTGGTCATGACAAGTGTTCAATTTCTATTTCTATCTTGAATTCACCACAACATCGATTAAGTGTTTTCTATGTATGTATTTACAAAAAATGCTTTTAAGTATTTCTATCAGTGGCTATAGATGTTGCTATGTGAGGTATCTAGGGATATTATTCAATCAAATCAAATCATATCAAAATAAAAACATATTTATTCGTGTAGGTGTCTTACAGACTCTTTATGATATGTCAAAATCTGTCGTCAGTTCGGAGAGATTTCGAGCTAAGAATATCTGACAAGAAACTCAGCTCTCATTACTCAACTCATTATTATAATAGTATAACATTGTGCTGTTACTGTATGCCATATACCTACATATGGAGTATAGTAATAAGGATATAGTGTCCACATGACAAGTCGACCTCCACGAAGTCACCTCTGGAAGTCATTGTCAGATGTCAATTTCCGATATATTTGATTCGATGGACTAATTCACCTGACTTCATGTTCATCCTATCATCCTCCACTAGGACTTCGCCAGCGTCAACCGTTAGCGCAGACGGGTGCAGCATTCCATTATCATTAATTAAAAAAACAATTCTCGTGTACTAATAAATAATAAATAACCTTGAATAATTAACACAGCGCCATCTAGTCCCACGGTAAGCAGAACTTTTGTTATGGGTACAAGACAACTGATATAAATATATAACTTTTTTTAAAATACATACATAGAAAATACCCAGATCGATAAAAATAATCATATTCCTGCATATAAATGTTTGCACCGTGTGAAGAATCGAACCCGCGCCTATTGGAAGTAAAACGGCGTACTAATCCGCTAGATCACCGAGGCCATCAAATACTAAACACATAAAACTACTGACACTGTCGAAACATCAAGACCTACAACTGTCACGTACATCGTCACATCCGGTTTTCGCATAGACAATAATTCTATTTACAAAATCACATGTCTTTGTTTATTTTTTTTTATTGCAACGCATCTTACGAAATTGCCTATGGAGATGAGTATTGCGCATGCATTATGATTTAGTTACGTTCTGTTTAACACAAAACGGCCAAGACGCAGTCGTGATAAAATAAAAATAGGGTATGAGGTCTATGATTTAAATAGGCGTGTTCTTAATTCAAAAATTGTACCTCTTTATTTTGGCGGGGCTTTTTATAACAAATGTTTTTTTATCTATATGTTTTATACACATATTATCCTGGATTTAGTTATGATATGTATATATAAATGACCCTAATAAATAATATAGTAACCACCAGCCTATGCTATTACAAAAGCAAATAGTCTAATCAGTATTCGTAACCTGAACAGACCAGTCACAATCAGCACCCATTCACGAGTATGACGGATCTTCCCACTGCAATTATAGTTTCACATAAACCTCTCATTCATTAGGTACATGAAATACGTCCGCTTCACTTATGATACCCATTCTAGTTTCAAATAGTCTGGTAAAAACGATAAAGGCCTGTAATCAATTTTGAGGATTTTTCTTTGCTAAATTACATGTTTTAGTCTAACTTCTAAAATAATTGCGTTATAATTATAATATAAGCAATGATTTATAAGTGAATATAACACGCAAGTACTATTAAAACATTCTTTTGATGGTTAAAAAAAAACAAAGCCATAACTTTCACTAAAAATTTACGGTGTAGTTAATAACCGGTACTAAAATGATCTGATTTCAATTACCAGTAAATATAAAGATCCGTAATAATAAATATGGATTTTCACAGATTTAAAAACATACTATACCTCGAGGCGTTGCTTGTCAAATTTCAGTTAAAAAAGGTAAATAAGATCTATCTCTGTATCCAATTTCTTTCGTATTAATACTTCATCCGGTAATTATGCGTAAAAGATTAATAATATAGGATACACATTTATATAATGTTTATTCAAATAAAATAAATTTAAATTTAAGTACTTCTGAATAGTCACACTTTTTTACTTTATTATTTTTATTAGAAATAAATAATAGTCTTTAGTAGTGAATGTAATGGTTGTCTATAAATGTTATTATTCTTCTTCTTCTTCAAATACAATTTTAAATACATATATTTCAATCTACAGTCCCTAATATACGTAAACACGCATCATACAAAACTTTTTTTTTACACATTATATAAATTTAAAGCACAACGAAAAGTTTCAATAATTCACCGTGATGAAAATAGAAAAGAAGATTTACACAGACACAAATGTAAAGTAGAAATCTATTAGATATAATGTAGAAAAGGCAAAACTATAGGGTTATACAACAAAATCTTACACGTTCATAGTGATTTTATCTCAACGTTAGAAGTTACTATTTGAATTACAAAAATAAATTTATATAATTCGAAATAATGAAACGGAATTAAAAAATATATAATTCAAATGTACTATAAATTGTCTATGACCACTGGGGTACGCGAAACGCCGCGAAAACTGTAAATATCGACGGCGAGTTCGATCGTGATAATGAAAGTGAGAAGGCGGGAAAGATGAGCTGTCAAACGATACGGTCACGTTCCGTTTAGCATTACTCTCGGTTTCATTTCTGCTTGTCTATGGCATCGTGATTCCAGTCACGTAAGAATATTTGGTGGCTCACGACCACGAGACATAATGCTTTAACAGCTGGATTAAAAATGGAAAAGATTCTGAATTTGAATGTATTTTTTATCTGTGTTATCTCAGAAGCTGTGCTGTATTGTGCGCATCGAACATGTAATAATCGGAAGTTAAGTGGTGTGCTAAACCCCTAGACCATCAAGGCCGTCATTATTATAGAAAGAAAAAAAAAATATATATGTATATATATTAATGATATTTCAATGCTTAATCTCTGTATTCAAAATTTTGTTTCTAAAGAAAAACATTGATATTAGTATGGATAAAAAAATATATAAATAATTCGAGAAATATAGCTACAAACTACGCTCTCTTAGCATTTACCTGTTCGCCTTTAGGCAGGGCTTATGCCTATTTATCACCAAACGGGTATAAAAAGTTTCAACATAGTAATAATTCGTTACTAATCAGTATCTTGATAATCAAGTTATTTCATTTATAGAAATTAACGTTAAATTCGTGGCTAATAACACAATGCAACATTTAAGTACAACGTTTCGTTCCATTCACGAATTTTAAACAAAACAATTTAATTTGAACAAATTGACCCGCTTTCAGGCATTGAAGCCCTATCAAAATCGCATTTGTCACGTAATTTACGCAACTGTCCAATAACTTGAAATTATTAACCTTATCCAATGCCATTAGTGTGAAGAAAGCAGACTTGGTACACTGGGAGCAAATTACATCCTTCCCGTACACAATCGCATACAAATATATACACTAACCACTAGCATTTAAAACTTAATTTTGCAAAAACATTTACTGTAACACAACATAAAATGTTATATAGGTCTGTAGTGGTAGATGGAAATTGAACTGTGTTACTAATGATTATAGGTTGCAAATTCTCTTACAACGGATGGCGCTTACCACTTTTTTCGAGCGATAGCCCTTGTTTTGGAAAGCTATGGCGAAAGTCGTCGCCTTATTCGTACACCGACTATCACGTCTTGGTACTTTAATGTGATTTATTAAAATTTTATCTTCGCAATGTTTAATATCCTTGTTGATAAAACCAGTACAGAATACGAGGTGAAATGGAAATTTCCATATTTCTATAATTTTCTCCAGTATTTTAATGCCTTAAGGTCTAAAATGGGATATAATATCTGATATTAACTTTGAATATATTGAAGATTATAAAGTCGATTTTCTAAAGATTATAAGCTTTTTTAACTAATTTACGTAGTTTGCTAATAACTTTAACTGAATATTGTATTAAACAAATTACAATAGTTTAAGTTAAGTGGCCCCATCTACTTCGAAATAAATATGAGTTATAATATGAATATTAAATAGCTGATAGACATTATATCTATAATTTTTGTTTTATAAATATAATGCATATGAAAATAGAGAATCAGTTGATAATTATTATATAATATATATAATATCAGACGCATAAAAGTAAACATCATTGACTCATTTTTTTTAAATCGACCTTAATGTTAAAACCTTTTTAAGTTGTTTCTATACAATTTACAATAACTTTATTTTGGATAACTTTAATTTGAAAAAGATTAATTTTGGATATCTTTATGAAATGTTGCATATAGATATGCAACATTTCATAAAGTTATATAATGGTATATAAAATGTTTACATATAAAAAATAAAATAAAAATTTATTTCAAATGTTAATTAGTATAATTTATTTAAAAAGTATCAAGATATGTTATTCCATATATAATTTAATATAAATTTGATGTATAATTAGACAAATTAACGAAGCACGTGTTAGTTGTAAGTCGTTAAAATCGTATTTACACATCACGCACACGATCATAGACCGACGGTCATTGTATGGTATTATGGTCATTGTCTTACTATGTACAATACATATAAAAAAATAACTAAGATGGTTCCGAATACATAAATACTTGTTATATTTTCCGCGTCTTCATCTCATTATTTCGAGAGAAAAGAAAGTGTAATATCAATTTTCGCAATGCAATCTATCTTCACCCCAAATTGTATTAAAAACGTAACAGACATACAGACATATTTTCGTCATTATAACAGTATATTATCTATAATATGAAATAAAAATAAATTTATTATTGTTATACATAATTACTTAATCGATTTTAATTCTATTTCAGAGGAATATAAATTAAAAAAAAAACATAATTCTAGCAAAACAAAAATACACAAATCATCTAAGGAAAATGATATAATAAACTCGTGGAACCCTAACGAAAAGTGAAAAGGAACGGATAGCACCTCAGTCGCCGTTTACTTCCGATTTCCAACTTCCCGCGAATGGTCGTCTCGACGAAACAAAAACAAATGTATTAAAAAAAAAGTTTAAAAAAATGTGCGCAACGAATTGTTGTTAATTACAAAAATGTGTGAACGGAACGTGATTAAAAGTGACAGACTGGCCGGCGCGTTTATTACGATAAAAAAATAAAAACTTTTTAAAAATGGCCGATTTTAAATTTAGAATCGCGCGCGGTTTTGTGGTGTTCAGAACTCTTTTGTTATTTTCTGTGATAGTGGTAGTGTTGTCTTCGGGGACGGAGAATGATGTTTTGACGTTACAAGACGATTTAGAATTAAAAGAAGAGTTACCATCAGATAGAAGAAGGCCGGCTAATGAACAAGAGAAGGATATATTACTTCTAGATGCATTAGGAAGAAGGAAGGGATACCATCACAACTCATATAGTTCGTCGTCGTCGCAGGAAGATGACTCCATAATGGATTTATTGGGTAAAAGTAAGTTTCTATATTTAAACCAAGTTATAAGTTCTAAAAAAAGAAATATGATATTCAATACTTAGTGTTTAACTTATTATAGTCTTAAAGGTCGTAAGTTCAAATTTGGATAATACCTAAACACTCAGTGTTAATATTTCTTCCACATATTCGTCCATCTAACTTAGTGTTAATTAATTTAAAAACAGTTTTTTTTAATAATAATAATATCTCAGGACAACGCACACAGTGCCATCTAGTCTCAAGTTAAGCATATGTGTGTTATAGGTAGTAGACAACTGATATATATAAATAGATACTTTTCTTTCTATAAATAAATACATAATATACATAAAAAATACCCACACCACGAATAATTATAATCATGAATATAAATGTTTGTGTCGTGCGAAGAATAGAACTCGCGCTTTCAGAAGTAAGTCGGTGTGCTAAACCGCTAGCCTACTGAGGTCGTCGTTCGCCGTTATAAATATTAAATATTTGATATTTAATACAATTGAAATGACTATAATTATATAGTGTTCCGATTTACGTCTTAAAGGTCGTAAATTCAAATATGGGTGAGAGCAAAACTTTGTGTGTTAATTTGAATTTCTGATTAACTCTGCGGTTCTGATTAAAACGGCGGTAAACTCACCCCATGTCACATTGTATTCAAATATTCTCAGTCTAATATGTGCAAGTCAGATATCATTTATTACATTAGTTATTACTGCCTCTAATTACCCCGTTTGTAATTGTTATTATGAAGATATACGTATAAAATGTATTCCTTCTTACTTTTAATCCTATATTATGTATCTATCAGCTCGTTATACTTATGGGGTGGACAGAGAACTGAGTGCCATTGGATTCTGTTCGTACAAACAATTCTTGTTCCAAACTTCATTTTTGAAAAGTGAAAGTCGGACACTGTATGTGTCCATAGAATATAGGACATTTGACCCCTCCAGCTACCTACAAGACAGACTCCCACGCGGACGCTCCTCAAGACCATAGTGAATTTACTACGATGGGTTAACTAACCTGATTCATCTTGGGGGAAGGAAAGTGTCAATAATGTGTAATAATAACCACATTGCTAGCAATGTACCATGTCAGGTTGACCTCCACGCGTTCCTTCTCAAGATCATCGTAATAAATTCCTGGTTATTTTGCCAGGATGGGCTAACTGACCTGACCTCATGTTCATCTTATCATCCTCCACTGGTGCCCTGCTAGCGTAAACTGTTAATGCAGGCGGGTACATTCCATTATCATCCATAAAAGAGTCTGATTCATCATCAGACTATCATCATTCACTGGTGCCCGCCAGCGTGTACACTCAGACTTGTGTACCAATAGTTATTTTTAAACTTTTTATTTTTAAAAAATCATCATCAACCATAACAACAAATCCGTATTAATCATCACAATTATGTCATCATTCATTATCGATTCTCGCATACTTTTATCATTAATGAATCATAAACTGATTTGAATTTTTAGTTATTTTATAATGATTGTTGCGTAAGTTACGTTCTTAACTGTTACACTTATGTAATTAGATACACGTAACTAACTATAAGTTATTCAAAGTTAATGTCAGCAGAGGTAGACCTTGTAAAAACTTGTCTGCATGGGTAACTCAGTTTCACCTATTTCAGTAACCAACTGTTTGACAGTGAAATTACAGGGCATGATATCTTGCCAGCATGACATCTCTGACTTGAGCACAAGGTTTCAAATTTAACCGATATTAAGACACTTAATACATATGTCAATTTATATACTTGACTAACTTTCGCTCACTGTACAAACTCGTGTGTGTAAGTACCTCAGTCTCACCTATTTTAGCAGCCAAGCAGCTTGCTTTAAGCTTTTTAAGTAAGCTGCATTTTGGTTTAATTGATTTTAAGTTGGGCAGTGATATTAACAGAGGCATGCCATCTTAGTCCTCTGAAATGGCAATACATGAGTGGTATCATAAGTCTCACATGATAACATGATGTCCGATGTGCTTTGTATTGATACAGTTGATGGTTACCATTTGGGGTGCCATCAGCTTATTTACCATTCGAATTACATTAAAAAGTCCAATTATATAAAACAAATGTCTACCTTGTGCAAATATTATTGCCAGAAAACACAAGTAATTCTATTTTATTTTTATTAAATTAAACATAGCCCAATTTCAACTGGAAATCCAGTGGTAAATAAGTTTAAATGAAGTTCCGTAGCATTAGTCAATAGATGTCCGGATACCGTGAGTATAGTGTATCGCGTACTTTCGTTGGATAATCTAATGATGGTAGTTAAATAAACTCAGTAGTTTATTAATTTGTTAAAGTATTTAAGTATGTATATCAGTCTAGTACCCATAACTACTAGGTAGCGCTGTCTGAATTGTCCTAGATTATTATTATTTGTGAATAAACAAATAATAATTATCATCTCGTTTTCATTATTGTAACATTTTATTTTCAGTGCAATCAAAACATAAAATAGTTTAAAAATAAGTACACAAGCGTAATTTCATTGCCATGCATAAAAATGCAGATGTGAGACGTTATGACGGTTACTGAACTGGTTTACATCATTTTCTCCGCGTATGTGCGTGTACGTTTACTCTCTATGTTACAGACATGCTATTGGAGGAATAGCATGTCGATAACATTATTACAATACTTTTATGTAACACTCGATACTACTACAGATGACCGCCACTGTGACTGCTCTCCGAAAGAATACAATAATAATAATATAATAATATTTATTGCAGTTATAGGTTGTGTTACATAATTAAGTTGTACATAAGAGTCAATACAATTTGAACATACAAGTGTACATAGAAAATCATTTATTCAAATAAACTTACATTGAAGCATTTTTGAATTTGAAAAGTTGTAATTCTCTGGCGTATGACGTTGTACCATTAGTTTACGTCTCTACTAACAAAGATTTAAGTTCAATATAAAAAGAGTATATCCCGACTCCGCGTCGAATGAACTCTACTAATAAGCCATGTAGCACACTATCTAATAAACTTACTAATGTACAACAAACAAATATATATAGTAGCGACACTTCATCACATCATATATAACGCTACAGTGGTGAAGTGATAGCCGCAACGCTACAACGTTTTGAGCTGAAAATAAAAAACACAATAAAAAAAATTATTCTGCAGATATTCTATGTCATGTTCTTAATTGTTAAATCTGTAATTAACATTTATTACAATATACTACCTGTGTATACATATACAACAACCTGATTGTTAATACTACCCCTATTAAGAATTTACATGAATAAAGATATTTTTTTAATTTTGAGAGAGTAGTGAAGACGAATATGTAAAATGATTAATCACATTCTTTATGATAACCTAATAGGAACAATTAAACACAATTTACATTGTTCATAAATAAATAAATAATTAGTAATTTAATATTCCGACATGAGCGCAAGGTCTTGAGTTAAAATTTTACCAATATCAACTACATTTGTGACTTAACTCTCTCTGACTCTAAGAAGTCGTGTGTCTATGTAGGTCTCACTTATTTTAGTAACTAAGTAGCTTGATTTATTTTTATTTGATTCAGCTAACTTAATATTATTATACAACAATATGGGCCCATGCCCATATTATATTTTAAGGACTAACGTATAGAAAACAAGCAGTGCCTGCGTTTCACCCGCGTTAAATTTCAATATAAAATATAGCCTATGTGTTATTTTGATGCATAAGCTATATTACTGTAAAGTTTCATCGAAATCCGATCAGTAGTTTTTGCGTGAAAGAGTAACAAACATCCATACTTACAAACTTTCGCATTTATAATATTAATAGGATAATAAAATGTTAATGTACACTTTGTGGTCACCACAATCATTATGGCAATCTGCCACGGTAGTGGTACTACACAACTACTACACGGCCAGTAGTCTTCCTTCATGAAGGTGTCTTTCTAAGCTATTTTGGTTGAAGCCATCCTTCAACCAAAATAGCATTAGGCAGTGAAATTAAAGGATAAGAGACATGCCATCCTAGTCCTCTGAAATAACAACACCCATGTGGTATCATAGGTATCACATAATAATGTAATGTTTATAGTGCTGTTCATGTGCATATATAGACGATGATTACCGTTTACCATCAGGTGGGCTGTCAGCTTGTTTACCATGTAAATTACATAAAAAAAGTATATTTTTGTGACACTAGCGCGGTATGGTTGACCGGGTTTTTAGATTCTCTAGGCCATTATGTATGTTCGTAAAAAATAATAATGAATATACATATCAGGGCAATGTATGCCAAATAAACATTTTTAGTAAAACCACTTTCTAATAATATTTGCAAACAATGTATTGTTACATGAAAAATATATGTACTGTTCTAAAAAAACTAGTATAGGTATTTTAGAACTATTTCCCGAGATTTCTGTTTAAGACAAAAGATATGTTGTTTTTCCTTGGTATAATATATACTCACGTTAAATTTAATCAAGATAGGTTAAATCGTTTACTAAAGGTAAAAAACAGACGACAAATATGTATTTTTTTATATTAATTGCCTCCAGCTACCTTTTCTTTGCATATCTCACCCTCCAATCGAAACATATGTTTAAAGAAGCTGCTTTGAGGCTGGCTTTAATGGGTAAGACAGACAGACAGATTCGTGCAGGTGAATGAATCTCTTTACATATAAAATTTTCGTGTCCATAGTGTCCTTCAAAACAGCTATACCAATTTTTATGAAACTTTGTGTGTATATTCTGAGAATATACCGTAAACTATTTCTCTTGCCCATGAGTTATAAGGCTGATCCATCACACATAAACACGCACGCTCGTATATATTTCATACACTACATACAATATAGTAAAAGCGTAAAACCATATCGTCTTTTTTTGGTATTTTTATTAATGTATTCGTATTAGTAAGTTTTTGCTTAGTTCTTTATTTAGTGCTTTATTGTTTATGTTCAATTTATATAGTGTCTTGTGTTTATGCATCTATCTAATAAATATAATTTCATTTCTTTCAACTTTTTTTATTTTTTTATTTCAGTGATCCCGCAAACGTGTCGTTACCGCGGTGTGAGGTACGCATGCGGACTCAGCATATCATGCGTGCTGGGTGGCGGGAAACCGCTAGATTTATGCTCAGGTGGTATGATCTGGGCATGCTGTGTCGACAGAGACACTACCGAAAGACCCAGCGAACTAGCGCCAGTAGTCCACAATGCCAGTAAGTTTATTTTATCTATGCTCTAATTCGTGATTTGTTGATTCAGTGGAACGAAATTTGTTTGTCTATGGTTTAATTTGTGTTTAATCTATGGTCTTTTATGTACTGTGGAACAGAATGATCGGTTTTTTGGGCGGGAAAACTCGTGTTGTATATTACTGAATATGCTTTGTGCCTTAGCTTTTAATGTAATACAATGTGAATAAATTAAGAAGTATACCTATAAATTAATCCGGCGCATTACTTAGAAGAATATACTCGTATATTTTGTATGAAAATATCTTAGCACTTTTTTTTATTTAATAATACATCACTATCCAAAGTTCACCAGGGTGGCATTACGGTCTAAAGGTGTGTCAAGAGGCTAATCCCTGTCTTTGAGGTCCTTTCGATGGGACACATGCTTGAGTCTTTGGCCATTCCGAATGCGTTCTCATGGCCTGGTCCCATGCCTTAAGCGGATGGGCCTCTATTAACATTTTCCTCTCAAAAAAATCGGGGATTGCATACATTCAATTCAGACTTCGTTCTCAGAAAAGCAATGCTAACCTACACAACATAGTGTTTATTTGCTCAATAATTAGGTACGTATCTAAGTCATTCTGTTCCACAGATATGTTTGTAATATTTGTTTAATATTTTACAGGGTTTCCTTTACGTGTCTAATAATAACCGTAGTTAATATTCAAACCTGTGGTTTTTGTATTTAATGTACATTATTTCATATACCCCACAATTACATATACATATATACTCACAATAAATAGTAATGCTAATATCTTTCCTCAACCTTAAATATACATGAGTTACATGAGATCCTAACTCCTAAACTAAAAAGTGTACTTTTATATCAGGAGTCAGTTTCTGCTCAAACACAAGACATACAGATTCCAACAAAGATACAATTTCTATTAGATTTATATCATAACTGGCTGAGTCGCGCAACTTAATCTGCATTACACTTACTTGACATTTATCATTATATTTCGCCCCATTTACATAATATTTTTTAAAATTATAGATAATATTTTTTTCTGATGTATAAGCTATATTACTGTACAGTTTCATCAAAATCCATTCAGTAGTTTTTGCGTAAAATAAGAACAAACATCCATCCATCCATACTCACAAACTTTCGTGTTTATAATATAAACCTGACCAATTCTCCACACAGCGCCATGTAGCCCTAATTTAAGCAGAGCTTATAGGTACTAAACAACTAATTGAATAATTTAATACATTTTTTCTAAATACATACATAATATAAATAGAAAACACTTAAACCGATATAGACTATCATATTCATGTATACAAATGTTTATATCGTGCGATCAAACCCGCTACCATCGGTAGAAAAGCAGTGTGCTAAACTGCTAAACTACCGAGACCATCAAACTAAAGTCACACAGTCAAACATATACCCTACATATACATTTGAAATGTAAAACGTGTAAAATAATATTTATAAATATAATCGATAAAATAAATACTCATTGACAATAAACTATCAATGAGTATTTGTTGTAAATTAAATACTTATTGACAATTAAATAAACTAAGTATTTATTAATTAATATATTTATTGATAAAATAAATACTCATTGACAATGAAATAAATCGTCAATGAGTATTTATTCTATCGAATTAGGTATTATTTTGCGGAAGTCCATTTCAGTATTAAATGTATTTGTATTGTATTGTTTACGCTACAATAGCGCGCGGTTAGTCGCCGAACAGTCAATACTAGGCTTCCAAGCTATATCTGAACTCTATTCAATGCCTGATGATGCCTCGTTCAGAGGCGAAACACGTGTCGGAATTTGATCACCATTAGAGAAGGTCATAACGGTAGTCAAGTTTCCGCACCGAATATTCGTGATCACATACATGCTAATTGTAGCGGAATTAAACAAAATAATATAGATCCATTAAGTAGTGACATTAAGGTAGTGACAATGAGTATTGTTATGACATGATACGTCAGTTAACGCTCTCTCCGATCAGTACAAGTGATAAGTGATGACGAGCTCTTTTTTTTCTTTTCAACATTGACCAAAGGAATATTTTGTGCGGTTTTAAATGTTGCTTTCTATATTTTTTTTAAACATTTAGATTTGAAATTCGAGTCGCTCATTAGTAGAGTTGTAATGTAAGACATAAGTATAAGAATTGCATTCGTGAAAAGTGTGTAGACGTTTAGGAGCTAGAATTTAATATCTGCACTCATTTAAATTCCATCATAGGGATGGAATGTAAGGCTAAAATTCATCATAATTAAAATTTATTGTTACAAATTTTGTCAAATTTGAAACTCTTTGACATGAGAATTTTATATATTAGATATACGATATATATATTAAATATATTTGAATAGTAAAAATTTAAATAAAATTTTAGCACAGAGAGAGGATGGAGGCACGTTTTGGTGTTTAATAAAATTAATAACGAATTAGCGTATTATTCTTATTTTAATTTAAAAGTGGAATCCTCTTTGCTAGTCAGTGTTCCCATTCAATCTGTTCAGCTAGATTTATATTCAACTTTGTGCATTATAACAATAGTGTTAATTGTGCATTGTATGTCACGGTTTCCTATCGCTACAAGCCCGCAACCAACACCAACCAAGTTCACGCACTGATTGCTCCAAGACGAATAATTACGTACACTTATTTCCGGAGTTGTACACCATTCATAATCAAATTCTCTTACCGTTATTTCGTAACACGTTTACACTTTCACGAGTGTTTCTATGGTACGATACGATATAATATATACGATACAAGCAATTTGGGGGGGTGGGGGAAGGGATTACTAGTAAGGGGGTGTGGTCCTATTGCTGGATTTGTAAGGTATCGCTTTGGTCAACTCCATGCTAACGCCGCAACAACCACACTTATATACATGATCAACCCCACAGATGTCACATCGGTAATACCACCCTACGTAACCATTTCATGAGACTAAGATGTCGTAGAGAAGTACCCCTGATAATAACGCATCAGAGGTACTTCTCTACCTCGGTACCTTTTTTTTTAACGTCAGGAAAATCTTTATAGAGGCCAATCGGTTTAGGGGTCAGATGGGAACTGCCGGATTATTATCGGCCAAAAAACCTGACGACTATTCCTTCTCAAACATATCGCCGTAGCCATGGGACCGCATATGCATTCTCCGAGACCACCGGCATTGTTCCCATAGAAGGGATTTTTTAATCTAGGCGTGCAGGGAATAGGGACCCTAATGCCTCCCTGGTGAGATTCGGATGACCCTAACCATCGTCCACTATAGGGTCAAGTATGAATTCGATGCCTTGTTTGATTAGTCGCAGGTGTCCATCGAATTCATCGAGTTAGGCGTACCAGAGCACTGATAAAAATAATTAGATACATTTTTACTGTAAATACATACATAATATACAAAACACCCTGACCGATATATACAATCATACTCATGAATACAAATGTTTGCACCGTGCTAAGAATCGAACCGAAGAGATAAGGGCAGTGGTGGGACCAACCTGGAGAAGAAAACCGTTAGACAGAAGAGCATGGAGTCTATTGGAGGAGGCCTAGATCTTAGAACAAGCTGACGAACCGAGGCTTTTAACAAAAACAACATTAACTTCACATTCAGTATAAAGGCTATAAATAAATAAGAATCGAACCCGCGACCACCGGAAGTAAAGCTGTGTGCTAAACCGCTATATCATTAAGGCCTTCAAAATTGTAGCGGAATTAAACAAATTAATATAAATCGAATAAATTTCTAGTAATGACTATTGTACCTAACACTAGTGACCTAAGACTAGATTCAATTGATGAACGTGATTTGGAGAAACTGTAGAGAAAGTGACAATTATGTCACAACCATTGGACCGTTAACACAATAGTATGGTACGGATGGTATAGAAAGTTAATTTCATATATACCCTACACCCTGTATAATATAGCAACAGTAACAGTCGATAGAGCAAAGTTTAATCTTATTAGTATATTAAACGCGAAAGTTTGTGAGTATGGATGAATAGATGAATGGATGTTACAATACATATATAAAATAATAACATACAATTTATAAATAATCAATAGTTTAATTATAGATTACCGGTAGTAAAATCTTGGTTTTATCGGCGTCTGGACAGTCGAATAATGGTGGTAGAACTGCTGATGCATCATTAGGGCACTCTTGAACTGTGACTTAAAACTGCATTGCGAACAACTGGATTCATTGCGATCTTACTAATATTATAAACGCGAAAGTTTGTGAGTATGGATGGATGGATGTATGGATAGATGCAACTTTACAGTAATACAGCTTATACATCAGAATAGGTAATACTATGTAATATTATGTTATCTGTGGTAATACGTAGGATATAAATTTGACGCTGGTAAAACCGCGGCAACAGTTACTTACTATTTTTTACAGTATCAGAAATTATTTCATATATGAACTCGGACTTCATGTAATTTCTTCTTTTCTTAATTCATGTAAAGTATCTTACTTCATACTATCATTATAAACACGAAAGTTTGGGAGTATGGACGGATGAATGGATGGATATTTTTTACTATTTCACGCAAAAACTACTGAATGGATTTTGATGAAACGTTACTGTAAAATAGCTTATATGTCAAAGTAACACAGAGGCTATAATTTAAAAAGATATGGAAAAAAGGGGGAATTATAATGTTAAATGTGAAGTAAGTATGATACAGGCGAAGTTGCACGGGTCAGTCAGGTCAGCTAGTAATTTAATAAATTGATTGAGATTGGTGGAATATTGTGACATATTGTTATTCTATTGTAATCATAATATCCCTGGACAATTTACAGAAAGCCAGCTAGTCCCAAGGTAAGTATAGCTTGTGTTAAGGATACTAGACAACTGGTATAAATACTTAGATTTTTTTTGTAAATACATACATAATATACATAAAAACATGCAGATTGCTACAAAACAGTCTATAAAGACAGTCTTCGAATCTGGCCACTACCTAAAGGCTTTATATCAATTTATATTTTTAACTAACTCTCCTGTGATGGTAACACCGATAATAGACCAAATTAGTCATATAACAATCTCTCCGTTAGAGTCAAATATATTCAGCGTAATATCAAGTGTTACATTCAGGACTATTGATAATCGAAATAGAAATAATCTTCTTCAAATAAACTTAACACAAGTACTTTTATATAGTCGAAACGCAGTTTCATTACAAGACAAACGAGCAAAAAAAACTTGCGTGTTGTTCATTTAAATAAATGTACTTCAAAATTACGTTTTTAAGAATTTTGTGTGAATGTATAATACAAACAGCCTCTGTCTACCTGTTTTGAAGTAACGGTCGTGAAGATTATGACCTCAATCAAACCAATTACATGGTACCGGTAGTCCGGATCATGTACCGTTCAAAACACTTTCTTCATAAAACCGTCGATGCACGGGCTCATTGCTTATTATCAACTTTCTTTGAATTGAGTTACGTCGATAGCCCAATCATTACATAAATGTAATATTCGTAATAAATACACGGAAATATGTTCGTGATTACGAAATTACGGTAATAACCGTTTAAGGTGATTTGGTAATCATCCATTCTATAGTTAATTGTAGACTTTATATGAAATTGTCTGAGTGGGGTCTGTCTGTTTCACCTATTTAGACGAACGTAATGGTCTAGCCGTTTAACACTCCACTTTACTGCTGGTTGTGAGTTCATTACTTGCACGATCCAAACATTTTGTAAGAATAGAATAGAATAGAAAATCCTTTATTCAAATAAACTTAATTTAAGCACTTTTGAATAGTCATAATATTTCTTTTTAATCTATCACTCATTCAGAAAGCTGTCTCATCACAAGAAAAACGAGCAAGAAACTTGTGTGTTACTCTTTTAAATAATCCTTGTAAGTTTACATTTACTAGTCAAAACGTGTGAATACAAACCACCAACTTTATTAGGGTCAAATATAAGTACACAATAAGATTAAATCAGTAGCAGTGGTAATTTGTATTCATGATTATCAGTGTTCGCTATGCGAAAAGTTTAGGTGTTTTCTATGTATTTACAAAAACAAATAATTAAGTATTACACACACAGAACACAGTTTACAAAGATATTTACAATTAATACAGTGCTACCTTGTCCCGAGCAGAGCTAGTGATGAGTACTAGACAACTGATAAATATACATATACAAAACAAAAAACAAAACATTTTTTAAAATATATACAATAAATATATAGAAAATACTTAAACATCCGTTAAGGACGAAGAATCGTACTCATGAATACAAATATTTACACTGTGCGAGGATTACCCGCGATAATCGGACATGAATATATATACATAATATATTTTGAATTGTTTTGGACATATATTTTAATTATGTACATTTATATTAAATAAATCCACGATATTTACTATACAATCTGTAAACATATTAGGAATTTTCTCAGAATTTCAATCTATAAGAAAATGTATCGTTAAAATGCATTCAGTTCTGACAAACATTTCTCATGTAATACACACACTAGACACATTAATGATTAAACAGCCTTTATTCTGAACACAGTTGAAACGTACTTGTACTTTAAATATAATAATAACTTCAAACTTAATACAAATATTCCAACACAGGTGACCTTATAGAACTCATCGGTACATTCCCCCACGAAAACTACGACTACCAAAACACAAACCAATTCGAAGACCCGATCATCATCTACGCAGACACTAACCGACCGAAACCGCACCACAACCGGCCCAAACCGGCCACTAACCCAGAACCGGATCAGAACCACCCGAAACCGGATTGGGAGTACAATCAAAACCATTATTTTCACGTGAAACCGTCATACCACGAGAGCACGACCACAAAACCGACACAGGACGACTTTTACACCCCGGACCATTATCCGGGTCAAAATAACGCAGACGGTGGTGATGATTATGTACCCGTGCACACAAACGGTCACAAACCGACACAGAGACCTAGTTATCCGGGTGAGACATTTAGCAGAAATATGGGTGCTCTTTGAAATTTTGAAAGGACAATCTCAAGTGGTTTTAATTTAATTGCATTGTAGTCTATCAATTAAAGATATAAGATTTAGTTATATCACAAATTTGAAAGTGAGTTTCTTTGTTGCAAGCTTGTAATTTCGTAACGGCTTAACTGATCGTCTTACAATTTGATATTTGCAACGGAGAGAGGCATTGGTATAGTCTCAACATCAGTATGAAAATAATCATTACTCATATTATATTAAATTAATTATGTTAGTGTTTTTTTTTAAGTTTTATTTCGAGCTAATACAAATTAATACATTGTAATAATTACAGTGTAAGCAAATTTCGAACTTATTGTACTTATTTTAAAATAATACTTATACAATTTATTCACCAAATAATTTCTTTAATAGTACAATAAATTAGCTGATATAACTGAATTTAATGACTAATTTGTTATAAAAGGTACAATTAGTAAGATATATATATTAAGAAGGATCATATTATTTACATTATTAGGGTTATTATAAATTATAGTAATTAAAATTGCAATTTTAATCACTATAATTAAATAATACACAAAATTATTGTGATTAAAATTGCAATTTAATTGCCTAATTATCTCTTGGAGCCAATCCTTAAATTGCTTCACACACAGGATGGAAAGGGGTCGAATAAATGTGACAATGTGTGAAAAGAGGTGGATGAACCAAAAGATTGGTAATTTTATCCAAAATTAATTTGAAAGTATTAAGTGCTCATTTATGTGTATATATCTAAGTACAGAAATGTTTAAACAGATAATATTTGTTTTTGTATTATATTAATTACATATTAAAGACGTCAAGTTTAATACATATATATTTTAAAGTAAAGAATCCAACAGATTATCAGCGCTGCAGATTTATCTCTAGCTTTATGCTAAGTTGGTTGCCTTTTCATCTTTGCGGTACATTAAGCCTCCTCCATTTTTTATTTGTACATGTATTTTTTTCTACCTCTTTTATGTTATTTATACATACATGTACTAAATAAACTAAAAAAGGGAACCCCAGTAATGTAAACAGCTGTGACATTGAGTTAAAAAAAAAATGTATGACTTAATATATGGATAGTTTTTTCTGTGGTCTATTGTATTAGTGTACAAACAAAAAAAAACATTTCAAACCCTAAATCAATAACCAAATTGTTCGCATCCACTTGAGTTTGTCCGTTACTCCGTTGGCCTGTCACTTTCTTGCTTAGGCTGGTCACACATTACCGGTAACAGGTGGACGAACCGTGCCTTCGACAGCATTTGATTGGCGCATTGGTTGCTACGCCCCGCCTACTTTGAAAATGCGCCAATCAAACGGCGTCGTCAGTACGGATAGCCCGGACTGAACCTAATATTGTGAGCCTAGTCTTAGATGCACCACAGCGATTTCATAATCATCGGCACCTTTCTGCTCGTTACTGCACATGCTTATATATTTAAACCTAATTACCGAATGTTTTTTTAATACAGTAGAATCATGGTTATCCGAATATAAATCCAAACATCCGATTATCCCGACAAATCGGAATTACCGAGATAGACTTTGTAAAAAGACGTCTGCTTGGGGGGGTATCTCTGACAACAATTTCAGTTTTATCGGACTACTCTAATTTTGTTGGCCGCAGCTGGCCTTTACAGCTTCACTGGATGATAGCGTAGATAGGGGAATGTAGACGGCAGTCCAAATCCGCGGAAGGATTTATGGGGCGGCTAAAGTCCAACTCCCGCCTGAAAAATTTCAGTCGAAAAGTAGCTTGTTTTATAAGCTAAGTTCCTACTTTTTGATTGACGCAGAGTACCTACGCAAACGACTTTATTCAAAGTCAATGTCGGGTAGATTAGTTAGTTTATTTTTTTACTTTGAAACTGATCATTCGGATAATATGGTATATTTTCAGTTTTATTTGATTTTGAATAATCGGAATTCTACTGTATTTTGTATGCATTATGACTTGGGTTTTGAAAGCTTTAACTGTTGTTTAATATTATGTTATTAATTAACTAATTAACTCTAATCATTGTGTATGTGTAATGGTATTTTCTTTCAGGTTATAAATTGGAAAAATACAATGTTACAAATTTGAAACAAATTTGATTAAATAGCTTATTATACCTTAAAAATGAATGGATAACTAGAAAATAATGTAACACTTATAAATCTAATAATTAAATAAAATTAAGAACGGGTATAGGGTACCTACATACTGTAATTAAAATATTTTTTAATTTGAATATTTTCTTTATTTGAGTATAGAATAATTATCAAAGAAATTGAAATTGAAATATCTTTTAATCTATAAAAGATGTTTAGCCGTCTTTTGAAAGAGAAATAGTTAAAATAAACTTAATATTAACATTTGAATAGTCATATTTTTTATACTCATTCGAAACAATTGAATGTAAAATAAACTTGCGTGTTTATACATTTTCAATAATTTTTACAAAGTGCTCTTTTTTATATACATTTTTTTTGTTAAAGAGTATATTATTATTATTTCAGGCTGTGGAGAACACTTCACTAGATCCAACAGGATTGTGGGGGGTCATTCGACCGGGTTTGGATCGCATCCGTGGCAGGCGGCGCTGATCAAGTCCGGTTTCTTGAGCAAGAAGCTGGCTTGTGGTGGTGCTTTGGTCTCGGATAGATGGGTAGTGACGGCGGCGCATTGTGTTGCCACGTTAGTATAGTTTTAAATTTATTACTGTATCATATATAGTTAAGTATTGTATTATAATAATCTTTAATATAGAAATAAAAAAAAAGTCAGAAGGAACTGAAAATATAGGTAATAAAGATTAAGGGCGCCGGCCATTAGAAAACCTCAAGGGTGCTCATGGTCATTTATTGTAATCGACCGACAAATAAATAAATATTTTACTTACATACTGCGTATTTAATAATTATTTTTGATAAAGAAACAACATTATATAATATAATTGTTTCATTTTATATTATTATTTTTCAAAAATGCAACTAGTTTTTATAATTTATACGTTTACGTATAAATTATAACAATTCTTTACGATAAAAACTAGTTGCATTTTTGAAAAATAATAATAACATTTAATTTAATAATAATAATAATTTAGTAGGTACGTACCTGTACCTACTAAATACTACTAATATAGGTAGGTATTACAGATAGACTGTATAATGAAATGACTAATAAACATTAATAAACTTTTTTAAGAACGGAAAATTTTGTTTTTTAGTACTGTATATTTATTAATGCGAAAGTATTCTGTTTGTAAGTAGATATATCAGCGATTTCTTCAAAATATAGATCACCTAGTATTTCTATTTCTATTTACATACACTATCACCTGATCATTCAGTCTTTGCTGGGTCATAGTACTCGTCAAATAAGTTTTTATTATCCAGGGGTAATCGACCCCCACCGTTTATGCTCAGGTGCTCGAGCCTCCGAGCACACACGGAGTCTTCGCATGAATTAAAAAAAAATGTCAATATTACAGAACACCAAATTCCCAACTGCGCGTGCGTCTCGGTGAATGGGACGTCCGGGACGCTGGGGAGAGGTATTCCCACGAGGAGTACGCGGTTCAAAGGAAGGAGGTACACCCCGCATATGAACCGGCCGACTTCAGAAATGACGTCGCCCTAGTGCAGTTGGATCGTAGTGTCGTATTCAAACAGCATATATTGCCTGTAAGTATTTTTTGTACAATTTAAATTTAGGTAAAACCCATTTCAGAACCAATGCTCACTGGAGTAGGCGTGTTCTAGAGTGGAGTGTTCAAGATACAGTAAATTACTTATATGCTAAATTTATGACAGGTATACAAATATAAAAGTTGCTTTATTTATTGTTCTCATTTGAACACTTTAAATTGATTACGATCTTCTTCTTGAGTCGTTCACTCTTGACAGAGTGCCAAAAGCCACGAGGCTTTTATGATGGTATCTATTCCTCTTGTCCTCCTTGGCTACAAAACTCTTCGCAATTTTTGGCGGCTGTACTAGAATATTATACAATGCTGTGTAGCCGTTTTTAAATAATTATACAAATTAGTACGCAGTTGCGGACACCGCTAGTTTATAATATACTATCAGAAATATACTTCAATAAACATTTCAATACTCAAGACTCAATTACTCAGACGCCGATAATAATTATATTACAGATATAAATCTGAAGATAATAAATATCAATATTTATATTATTACGTCTGTTCATTTTCAGGTATGTTTACCGCAAAAGCAAGTGAAGTTAGCTGGGAAAATGGCCACAGTGGCCGGCTGGGGGAGGACGAGACACGGACAAAGCTCAGTCCCTTCAGTATTACAGGTGAGTTGTTAAACTATACGATATATATATAGGACAGTAGGGATTAAATTATAAATAATATCTAAGAATTAAAACACGAATAGTAATATTTTACTCGAAAAAATAATATATAAATTTCGACCTATTCTAATGCTGTAGGTTGCAGCTGGCCTTTACAGCTTCACCGGACGATACGATACGTCTTTAGAGGGCACAGCTAGAGGTTCGAACCTCGGCTCAGGCCGTTGTAATTTCGATCCTTATTTGAATTGGATGGGGAATCGATTGAAGGGCAAACAAATAATATTACAAAAAATAAATCGGTTTACTTAATAGTTACATTATTCCCGCAGTACAAAGTATCAGAGTACGGCAGATCCTGTACTGTTAATTTAATTTGCGAGTTAAATTATATATTGTCTAATTTCAGGAAGTGGACGTAGAAGTGATACCAAATGAGCGGTGCCAACGATGGTTCCGCGCAGCTGGTAGGAGGGAGACCATACATGATGTATTCCTCTGTGCAGGATACAAAGAGGTAAGACATATATCCTGTATGATATGAGTGAGTGATAATTTATGAAATGAGTGAAATATTAAAAAAATCTTATCGACGTTTTCCTTTATTCAATGTGCATCATGTGCATTACACTTACTTGACATTTACCATTATATTTCACCCAATATGAATAATATCTTTTAAAATTATGACCTATATGTTATTTTGACATATATGCCGTTACAGTAAAGTTTCATTAAAACATCTATCCATCCAAACTCCTAAACTTTCGCGTTTATAATAATAGTGAGATATATTTATTTTAGACGTTTAATTAGTTAATAATTATATAATAATGTTAATTGTTAATGAATAAATAAAATGAAATATGTTACTGCAAATAGAAATATTTTTTATTCAAAGTAAATAATAATAATATTCCTGGATACAACCCCATATTGTCCCAAACCATAAAAATATACATCCATAATTTTTCTTTACTTCTTCCCAACTAAAATATCTAAGCCAACTGGGTGATAGGGATAGTGTTAAAAAAATATTGAAATCCAAAAGTAGCAGAGAATGCACTAATAGAATTAATTACATTTACTTAGATTTTAACTTAGGAACTTGTCAATTAAAATACACTTAATATCCAGGGTGGTCGAGATTCCTGCCAGGGTGACTCAGGAGGTCCCCTCACCATGAAATTGGAAGGTCGGAGTACCCTTATCGGCCTCGTATCATGGGGCATCGGCTGCGGCCGGGAACACTTACCCGGAGTGTACACCAACATACAAAAGTTCGTGCCCTGGATCGATAAATTGATCAACCCTTAATTTTTAATTGTCATTTCATGACAATTGTTGCTAATAAAGCCACAGAAAGACGATATACGTCTAATTTACTATGAATTTGTATGGAATAACGATGAGTAAACAACATTTATATATTTATTTTGTTGTATAAATGGAGGACCAGCCTTCTATACCGGGATATGCTGGTAGGGCATTAATGGAAAATGATAAGATGAGAAGGAAGTAAGATCAGTTATTCGATCAGTCACCAGTAATTAACCATGATGGCTTTGACTATGATTGAGGTCGACCAATCTTGGTATATTTTTAGGACTCCGGCCCAATATTCTCTATTGTTAATAATAAGGAAGGGCCGCTTGAAAGGATTTTGTTAGGTGAGTCAACTTTGGTATGTACTGACTTCAATAAAGGACTTCAATGAATACATCTTACAAGCTGTAACAACAACATAAGATGATGTTAATGTTACAGACGTTTATACAAAGTTACAAGGAACAAAAATGAAAACGACAATTATAAAGAATGAAAATAGAAGTTAGTTAGTATATGTATCAAATACATTCCTGAGATTATTTTCTTATTTCAACCTATAAGCCTTTATTATTAATAATTAGTTTGTGATATTTCATTGGAATATAATTATCTATTACATATTGAATACGGTCTTCTTGAATATATAAAAGTATTACATCATCTAAATATAAAAATTTTTCGTTTTCTTTCATAGGAGTAAAATTATACGAGTATATACATCAATATGATACTTGAAGACCCGTTTGTATCCATATGGCGTAGATCTCAACAATATTTAATGTATTTTTGATCGTTATAACTGATTTCATTGTAAATAGCAGTTTGTTATTAACCACTATTTAAATCGATGCAAAGCATTGATGTTGTTCGTCGGTGCTACTACACATTGTCATAAGAATATTGTAATTGTTTAATCTCTATATTTAGTTGTATTTTATTATTTGCTATTTTTTTATATTATTTCTTATTTTGTTGTTTGATGATTTATTTTATTGAAATGAGCTGATGACTGTTTTTGTAATTTCAAACAAATATGAATCTATTCAAGATAATATAACAAGTACCATATACCATACGGTTACAAAACAATCTTGTAATAGGGAATAATCAGATCCTCAATCGACAATTGTTAACATTTGTAAAGATAAGATAAAAGGTTTGATCACGATGAACCAAATCACGGGATAGATAGAGAGAATCGCGTTTAGAAAACTTGAGGCCTTTCTACAAATCTCTTTCTTTATTCATTCCTTTCTGTATGGAAATAATATTTTGGATAAAACAACGCTACCTAGCTGTATTCGAGCTCTATTCATTAGTATAGATATAGTAATGGTCGGAATTTGATCATCAGAGATGGTTGTAACGCTTCCAGTAGAAGTGGTCAGGTTTCCATACTGAATATTTGTGATCACACATGTTAATCATAACGGAATTAAACAAAATAATATAAATACATCGAGTAATGAAATAAATGTGTGGAATGTTTATAATAATTATTATGTTTTTGTTATTCTAAATACATTTTACAACTAAATACATTTTGTCTATTAAAGTTATTTTATATTATGTTATAAAAATTAATTGTCCTTTTATTATATTAATCTTCTATATTTAGGTATTATTTTCTATAGTCATTTTTTATCACTTTTATATTGTCTATGATTGCCTTACGGGTGATTCAGTATAATCGATTGTAGTCCTAAATTAAGAGTCGGATATACATTTTGATTCCTGAATTATATAGATTCACTGGTAAAAGCTGTATTAAGAGGCCTTTCGGATTACTGGGCTATGTGGCCCGTCATTTTGTAATTTTATATTTAAAACCTATTTATTATTAATGTACTTATTAATTTAAGTTTTGTTTTTACTTGTTAGCAATAAACTATTAGTAATGAAAGAAACAATATATATGGTATTTATTTTTAACAGTATGTTAACCCCAAGAAGACACAAGTGTGCACGGGTACCGCAAAAAAGATTGCATTTATCGTGTCTCCTCAGTTAAGTCAAGTCAGTCTGGATATGAAACACTACAACTCTCCTTGATATGAAACAAAATCTCATATATATATATAATAGCATTGATATGCCAATGCCAAGGGTCAATATAAGGCTGCCAATATAAGGCTAAAATAACCTTTAAAAAATTTGAGAACATTTTGTGCTCAGAAAAATGTAAGAAGAATAAGACGATAGTTTTTTTCTAAATTCAGCGTTATTGCCATTATTATCGCATTTGCAATTATACAAGGCATCCGGCCGCATATAGCATACTGTTCTTATCACAATACCAACTACTTCCATTTGACCACATTCAGAAACGAGGAGCCACAAGCATTGGTAAATTACGTCTTTGTCTCTGTGCATTTTCTATCTTATATATCACGGTGAGTGTTCAGATTAATACCAGTTGCTCAGTTTCATCACCGTACCACCTACCAGAAACTAAAAAGAAAGGAAGAAACTAAAATCATCTTTTAGCAATGCTATTTCCGAACCAATACTATATTGAAACCTTCAACTTGAAGTTAGCAACGCAATTGTAATGCCCCTGGTGTTGCAGATACTCATAGCTAGCTCATACTCACTAACCGCAACCTCTTTTGTCCCCTGTGCTATAAAATGTCCTAAATTAATTCCAATAATTAGTGTAATAATGTTCTCTTTATTAATAACAAGGATATTTGTAATATCGGCTACAAATTTGGAAAAAATACACATACAAGTCAGTGTGATTTTTTTTTTATTTTGTAGTAAAAATTAATTAAAGTAACAAAATAAAAGTTAAAATTAAATTAAACTGGTTAAATTGAATTGAATTCAAGTTGAATTCTAGAAAATATTATTTGATTATTGTGGAAATCAGTTAACTCCATTGAAAAGCAACTTAACGAATTCCAAAGTCACTGCGTAGCCGCTGATTTAATCTACATAAGCAAAAATTACATATTTTGTATACATATACAAAGAAATATTTATAAATTAACATATTTTTTTTTCTTATAAGAGCTTATAAATATTTCCATTAATATTATCAAAAATAATAATTCAATTATGACTTCTAATTTTAATCGATAGATTTATTGCAATATACAGCGCCATCTAAAATGAAGGTTTAAATATACCTGTGTATATCGCAAAAGTGCAGAGCGCCATCTATTATTTATTGGAGGTACTAAACAGACTTCCAAAGACGTGGTAAAAGCAACTGGTATAAAGTTATAACTCTAAACACAATCCGTACTTCTCATGTACTTAAATTACTCTATGCTTTGCTTTCTAATAAAAGACTTCAACGAGATCTACAACAATCTCTTTGATCATTTAAAAATTTTAATTGCTGCTTTCTTTTCGAATTTTTAACTATATTTATTGTGGATTTATATAAGATATTTTTTTATAATATAGAGTCGTCGACTTTAAAATGAATAATGACCTTCATATATCTCATAAAATACTCTACGTTAATTAAAAATAAACACATTTTCCTTACTTCTTACTAATCCTATAAATGTGAAAGTAACTCTGTCTGTCTGTAGCGGTTTAACGTCAAAACTACTAAATCAATTTAAATTAAATTTGGTACACAGATAGTCTAGAGCTTGAGAAAGGACATAGGCCTTTTAATAATAAAAAAGGTTTGTAAGGGGTTGAAAGGGTACATGAAAGGTATAGAAGTACCGTCATTTTTGAAACTAGAACAAGGTGGGCCGTGAGCTGGTTTATCATTCCCATTACAGTAAAATATATATGACTCATAAAAAACCCAACTAAGCAATAAATAAGTTTTTGACAGTCCTCCATATAAGTGATATGGTGTTGTCGGGTCATAAGGCCAGAACTCCAATTAAGGCAAATGAATATGATACACGTGATATCACTCAGGCGTTGCCATTCAACCGGACTAAGATGTCATGCCTCTGATCCTGTAATTTTACTGCTTAATCTGCACCGTACAACTGAAACATAGCTTACAGAGCAGGAGGCTTCGCAGCTAAAATGTGTGATACTAACATTAACGCAGATAACTTTTAATAGTCTATATGTGGTAAGTAATGTTATAAAGCTAAAGTTGTTTGTTTGTTTAGTTGAAGTTACTATCTTATTTTTATAGAATTAGATGTTATTTTGAGTTGTAGCGTTTGTTGTATTGTAGCGGAATAAAAACAAATAATATGAATCCATTAAGTATTAGGAACTAATTCGAATTTAAAAATTGTGACACTTATCTATCTCAAGGAGTTGATTCTTCTGGAACTTGTTCAAATTGTAAAATTATCGAATAGGCTATTTATCGAGGAAGGTAAAGCTAAAGTATATAGTTTGTAGTATAATATTATGCATATGTATATATATATATATATATATATGTGTAACGCAGACAAAGTTGCGCTGGTTGGCTAGTTATTTTATGTTTTATGAGTTTGTATTTCCAAATTTAAATATCAAATTAACGCTGCGGCGATGTTAAACACCGGAAACACTTAAACTGCGCCCTCAGTTATGTCGTTTGTACCATGCCTGGTAAGTTCAACGCAAGTCATCAAAACAAAAGTAGGGAACGTTCTTTTTAAATATTTTCTAATTTAACTGTATTTTATGTTCTTTAAGAGATTTTTTACCAATAAAAGAAGTGTATATATATTTATCATATCTTTATTATTAATAATAGTTAATCCACCATTTCGTGTTTCTGTTGGTGATAAAAGATAACCTATGTCCATGTGATAAAATAAATTTTGATGTGAAGTTTCATTTAGCTCACTTTAGCGGTTTAGTCGTGATAAGTTAAGAAATAGACAGACAATACATTCACATTTATAGTATTATTATGTAATATTATGTTATCTGTGGTATTATTAATATGTATACATAAATATAGAGGTGTATTACTGTTCCATATGTGAAATTGTTGTTAATAAAGTTTGTTGTAACAACTCATTACCAACATTTTTTAACGTATAATTAATTTTGTTGACAGAAATTGTGTTGAACAATATATATAATTTATTTAATATTTTTTATTAGATATAATTTAATTATATGTATTTTATAATTTTTTTGCACCGAAAAAATATATTAGATGTTTTGTGCAATAAAGAGTTTCTGTGATATTGTTTTATGAAATCTCTTCCAAAAAATCTTTGGGTAGAGAAAAAAACGACAAAAGTACACATACTATATATATGAATATTCTAGTAAGCATATTAAAATATTTATACATATGTAATCATAAACACAGATTAATATTACAAATAAATGTTCCAAAATTATTGTTTAATTAATTTTTATAGCTTAAATTAATAATAAGCAATAAAACTCACTTAATCTAAGATAACAGACTTTTCTAAAAAGGTAATATCTCCACTCCGTTTTCGTTGAAGCAACAATCAATGTATCCCATTATTTTAACTCATCAATATTCCCCGTTATGGTGCAACAAGTTTTAAATATCCTTTTCTGACATCATCTCACAATATCGCAATTGAGTTTATTTTAGCTCGAAATTATAGATACGACCTTTCCGAGAGCAACGTGCGCGAGCGCCGGTGTTGCCAACTTACTAGGATTACCACTAGAATTGGTAAATTTGACTCCCTTATATTACTAAAAATGTCATCCTAAATTCAATCTCGTTTAATTAATTTCAATTACAGTCTTACTAGAAATTTTCTTACGAGTTACTTAGTGCATATTTAATTGACTTTGTGAACACAGAAAATAAATATGGCGAATTTTAAATATTTTATTCCATAAGTTATTAATATAAACATGTTTTCAAATAAATAAATATATTTTGGAATTATTATTTAATTATTTATAGTTCTAATATAAATAAATTTTATTAACGTAGTATTATTGAATGGTAGGTGAAATAAGAAGAGACAGCTGAATTAAAGATTACTAGGAAAGTTAGGAAACAATGATCATTATATTATGACATAATTTCAATTTTATTTTTAATTATAAATAAGTATAGTTTGTAATGGAAAATCGTAGCTTAATGGTTATTCTAGCTGTTTCATTAGAAATTTAAAAAAGTATTGGGTCTCAGTAGTCATAGTGATACTCCTTCGGGTGGTTTTGTTCAAACTTTGTTTGCAATACTGATCGCAACCAACCAGTACCCCGTCCGACCACAGAACGCGCGGCCGCCATGCGAGAAAAAACGAATAATAACGAAAACGAAATTCCAAATTCAAATTGATACACCAACATTCCAGAAACTTGTAAATAATAGTCCTATGCCGCGTGATTGATTGAGTTTTTTTAAACAAAATAATTTAATTCGATTTTTGAAAAGCATATGGCCAGTCCAAGGATGTGAACTTTTTTAATTTATTTGTACAAAGGAATGTGGTTTTAGTGTTTATGTACCGAAGTGCTAGTGTTGTGTGTTTTATTTGTTATCTATTTTAATGTCCGCGGAGGTGTCAACCTTTGCGAAGTGCCAGTGTTGGATTTAAAAATAAATATAACAATAAGGTAAGACAATTAAGCATTTAAAACTTTATACGTTGATATTTAAATTCATTTTAATTTCTCAACGTTTGTAAAATTCCTTTTCCAAAGGTTGTTAATGAAAATATTATGTGAGTACTAAACACTAATATAAAATACCAAAGAAATAAAAATAAACAAATTAATATATGAATAACCATTTTTCAATCTTTCATTTATTTTAATTAATTAGTATTGCAAGTTTCTACAAGTTACTTTTGTAATGTTCAAGATGTAATTAAGATAGATCCTATAGAGAACTAAAGTCGTAGTCCTTCGAGCCGGATCAATTAACATATCGTATTACCAGAAATTAGAGTATATTACATAATTACTAAAAGTATGCATTCAAATATTTGTTTTATATTGCCTTTGGTCTTATTTAATACAAATCCTCGTAAAGTCGGTACTTCACATTTTCACTATATAGTACCTACAAAACAAAGTCGCTGTCGCTGTCTGTCCATCCATATGTATGCTTGAATCTTTAAAACTACGCAACGGATTTTGAAACGGTTTTTAAATATATATTTTTTTATACTACTATGGTGGTAAACAAGCATACGGTCCATATGATGGTAAGTGGTTACCGTACCCTATGGATGCCTGAAACACTAGGGGTGTCACGTGCGCGTTGCCGACCCTTAAGAAACCTTAATGTACCCTTTTTGAAAAACCCCATGCTGTAGTCTCGTGAGAAAACCTCGGCATGAAGTTCATTCCACAATCTAAGTGTACGAGGGAGAAAGCTCCTAGAGTGATTCAAGAGGGAGGTTTATATGTATAATACGTGTACACCCATACGAAGCCGGGGCGAGTAGCTAGTAAATAAAAAATTTGTTTCTCTAGATAGTTCATGGTACTGGTAATATTTTGTGATGTGTGTATTTCAGGCGCCAAGCCGCTTGCTTTGTAAGATGTTTTACTGCTAACGGGTGAGATAAGGTAGTGAAATTAAAAGGGAGGCATAACACTGTAGTGTATTTAGTAAATGGCTAAGGAATAAGTCCTATCACGGACGTCTAGCGGTTTAGCACACCGTTTTACTTCCGATGGTCGCGGGTTTGATTCCTCGAACGGTGCAAACATTTGTATTCATGAGTATGATTGTTTGCATCGATCTAGATGTTGTATATGTATGTTATGTAAGTATTTATTATCACTTGTCTAGTGCCTATAACACAAGCTCCGCTTACCGTGGGACTAGATGACACCGTGTTAATTGTCCAAAGTTATTTATTTATTAAATATATAGCACAGTTCATGTATATAAGTGACAGATACCACTTACCATCAGATCCGTTACCATGTTTGCCATCCCAGTAACAAAAAAAAAATATAAATTCTACAGAGTACTAAGCAATGGTCCTTCGAGCCAGATTAGTTAAGATATCGTATTACTACAAAATGAAAGGAAGTGAACAGTTATAGAATACGCAAGTCCATTGTTAGCTAACGCAGTTAATGTCTTGAATTAACTCCATTGTTAAAGTTAACTTGAAAACAAGTTAATATTATAAACGTACTTAAATATAAAATTATTTGTTATTTTAAGCTTCTTTCAAAATAAATGACGAAAATTATTTTTATATATTTCTGGTACGACGTTATTGCTCATGAATCGATTTTGATCAATGTTTTTTTAATCGAAAGAGTTGACTCTCGTATTGCTGTTAAATATAATTATAGTGAGATGTAACAAACTACCAAATTGTAAACATATTAAATGTCTCCATTTTATTAATTTAGCTTTTTAAAACTCCCCCATTACACGTCATACTCGTATACAAAATTTACATCATCATGAGGTATTTTTTGAAGGAATAGAATGGTGCACCCGCCTGCTCTAATGGTTTACGCTGACTTCATGATCTCATTCTCATTTTCATACTGGTGGGGCACCAGTGAAGGATGATGATAGGTCAGGTCTGCTGCTGCGAGTAATTTATCACTATAATTTTTTATATTGTAATATCTATCGCTTTCTTTGTGGCATCTTTTACTCTATATTTTCTTCCTGTATGTGTATTTTTCAATTTCTTTTTAACATTTTAGTATTTCTGATAACGTATAAGTGGTATCACGAGCCTTATATGATAACGTGATAACCTATTTTCGGATTATTCTAATGCTGCTGGCCGCAGACCTTTACACCTTCACCGGATGATAACGTGTTATAAATAACATGATAATTGTGGTGTTATTCCTATATACATAGGCGACGTTACCATCTACCGTCGAATAAGTAGCTTGTTTCAGTTAGATAAACAAATTTATAAATGATATTGATTACCAAGTAGTTATATTAAGTATCCAGTCGACCGTGTGTGAATACCTACGGCCTCCCCGACTCAGTGGAGCGTGGATAGTCACCCTGCTTGAAGTCAAGGTTCCATGACGCCTCATGACATCATTGCGTTCAAGAACTGGAACCGAGGACGGAATTAACTATATCCTTGACAATTCTTAATTGTTATAAAACAACCATTATAATACTGTAAGGTCTAAGAAATAAGATATATTTTCTACTAACGATCCGCCCGCCTTCGCACGAGTGTACATGTATTATACATATATACCTTCCTCTTGAATCACTCTATCTGTTAAAAAAACCGCTTCAAAATTCGTTGCGTAGTTTTAAAATTTAAGCATACATGGGGACGGACGGACAGCGATAGCGACTATGTTTTATACTATGTAGTGATTAAGCAATTATTTGTATTGGTCTAGGTGCTTCCGATATTTAATTCAATCTAAATTTTATATGTAACCTTTGCTTAGCCGGGAACTAGCTGACGCTATGAGAAATATTGATTAATGTGCTTAAATTGTGGCTATTATTGTGATTAAATGCACATCTTTTTTTTTTTCTAAAAAACTCATACATTGTTTTTTGCTTGAAGGATTTTTTTATGAAGACCCGGCCGCCCCGGGCAAGGTATGGGTACTGCCGGACTCTTATCGCCTTAAAATCCCAAGGTGTTCCTTGTCTTCACCTTTTGTCAGGATTACGAGAATTCGCGAGCAGTCTTTCGCAACCCCGACGGCGCTGATTCATATAGACAGAACCCTACTCATTTAAAATAATCAACCGTAATACTAACATAGCAAATTGAAATCTGACAAGTTATTTTAAATTAAAAAGTATTTATGTATATACCCACAACTTACTGTACATTTTTTTATTAGAACTAGAACAACGTTTTTTGGTCGAGTTTATCCTTTAGGAAAGGCAAAGGAAACATACCCATCCTGTCATGTCTACTTGTTGTTAGAACATAGTTAATGTTTTAGCGCGCAATTCTAAATTTAAAAGTTGACAGGCCACATTTAAAAATACACATTTTGACACTCAGTAGTACTATGTAATATTATGTTATCTGTGGTAGTACCCAGTGCTGTTAACCTGTGTTTAAAAAGGAAAACTCTATTGAAATTTACTAAGTTTTATTAAGTTGGCTATATAATATTTCCCAAAAACATGATGTCATACAAATCATTCGATAGTGTTTACTCAAGGTTGTATGGCGCCCACATTACACCTACATTGTGACGTCAGGGTATAAGCCGGAATAAGTGTGCAAAATAGCATAATATGTAGGCAGGCGTCATTGACAGGAGATTTTTAATAAAAATAATCTCACTGCTGTATATAAATAAAGTCTAGGTTTCTTTAAATATCTAAAATCATTATTATATTTCCTATTATGTGCAAATATTTGAGTAATTACTAATTAGTTGGTTTTCCTAATATTTTTGTTTATAATTACAAATATTTTCATAATAAATTCATGTCAACATAATTTCGAAGTGTTCTTACTTAATTTATTAGGTAGAGTTTGTAAAAAGTCGTCATCTAGGTACCTCAGTCTCACCTATTTCAGCCGCCAAGCAGCTGCTCTGTAAGATGTATTTAGGCTTTAGTCTATTATAAGTAATGAAATTACAAGATAAGAGGCAAGATAGTCCACTGGAATGACAGCAGATGAGTGTACCAAGTACAGTTTAATTAAAATAATAACCACTTTAATCACATTAATGAATAATTCACAGATTATTCAGATTCACAGAAATTTAAATTCAACATTATCATCATTTCCTTGTTTTAAAACCACTAGTTATGATGACGACTTGTTCCCTGATGCCGGCCATCGATCGATCAGGGATCAATATACACAATTTCCTATCTCAGTTGTTTTTATAATAATAAACACTCCAGCCTTTTCGCTCCAAAACTCCCGCTACCTAACTGAAGTACATCCATCCGTCAAATCTACTTGTCAATGTCATAAAGATTATTTAGGCCACTGCAGTTTCGTTTCAGGTTACTCTGAATGCATTGCGTAAAGTAACATGATTATTGACTTTACCATTTTTTATTAATGGTGTTTCACACGATAGTTAACACTTGCCTTCATCCCATCATTTGTTGTCGCATGTCATCCTCTTCCACTGATCCCTATCAGTCGTCATATCTGATCATGTTCTCCTTTTATTCATATCATTCTTCACGCAATACAATGTAAATTCAACATACAAAAGTATCATCACCATTATCATCATCTGCTTCTTCTTTATCCCATTTATTTGTTGTCGGCGTAATATGTTTTTCTCTTCCATTCGTCCCTGTTCGCAAACATCTCGTTATTTACTCCCTTTCTCACCATATCATCTTTCACACAGTCCATCCATCTCTTTTTCTGTACCTATTCCTCTGCCCTTATAACATATTGAACAACATATAAAAGTATATGTTGTAATATAATTCCCAGGAACCAATAACTATTCGAAATGGCAAATAGAAGGCAATAATCGAGCGTACTGTTTTGTAATGTAATGAATATAAAGATGCGCGGGTGTTTCACAATCGTTAAAATGTTATTTTAAACATGAAATAATAGTTGTAATGGTTTATACGTTCGCCTCTCATAAACTTCTTTACTAGACGGCCTCGGTGGTCTATCGGTTGAGCACACTTCTGATGG